GTTCTTTACAATGGCTCATGTTTGTTCCTTTTGCAGATGTTTGTCCAAAAGTCATTCTTCCTTGGAAGCAAACAGGCTTCCACTCTTCCCTTTAAGGAAGCAGACTTCAGGCAGGCTGGCCTAGGCCTGTTTCCTTTCCTTTGTTCCCCTGGGTGGTTCCATTTCCAATTCCTGGCTTGCTTTTATTATAATTGGAGAATTGTACCTTTTGTTTCTGTAAGTCAAATATATATAGGAAGTAGAACCAGAATTATCATTGTTGAGGTCATGGATCTAAATAATACCCTGTGCTTTTAAGCACAGGAGTGCCAGAACATCCTCTAGGCTCTAGAAACTTGTTTCTTTCTTACAGGTAGAGGTACTCTATCTCAAGTTACCTAAACCTTCCTTTGAATGAAGTGTGGAAAGAGGTGCTTATTTTTCTTTTTTTAAAAAAAATTATTGTAAAGGTGATGAGCAGGGAGTGTTACAGTTACATAAGTAAGGTAATGAGAACATTTCTTTATAAACACTGTTACCCCCTCCCTCACTTCCTCCCACTTACCCCCTACTTCCCACTCCCCAAGTTGTCAAGTTCACTTCCAACATAGTGTCTAGTGAATATCATTGTTGCATTAGTTCATCCTTTGTCCTGCTGCTTCTGTGGTTCCTTTTCTCATCCACAGATCAGATAAGCTTATATACAAGACAAAGAGTACAGAAAACTAAAACAGAAAGAAAGAAAATATAAATAACTGCATACAGAACATAAGAGATTTTTAATTTGTACAGAGATTTTCGTCTATACTCTTTTTCAGGCATACCCTTTTCCCATATGGTCTGTAACTTTGAACTGAAAAACGACATTCCTTTTCTGCTTAAGCCTTCATATATGTATTCATCTTTAGACTTAGATATACCCCTCTGTCTACTGAACAGTACCAAAGATTTTCTCTGGCAAGAACCTTCTCAAGCTGGCTTGGGCTCCTGCAGCACATAAACAATTCCAAAGACCTTTAGTGTCAGATAAAACCACATTGTGATAATAGTAGATGAAGACAAAATTCAGGGCTACTGGTGTAAACATGTCTAAGCATAGATCAAAATAGAAATGTTATTCTACTGGGTCCAAAACCAACCAAACAGCCCCAACCCAGCTAATAAGAATGACAGTACTTTGGTCAGATTATACCTTTAGCTTTGGTCTAATCTTTTCTTTTCCCTTTCTAGATATGATTTCAGTTCTTGCTTCCATACAGCAATCATTCTCAAGCAAACTCCTGATTCCTTGAAAACATTCTACAATCCCCTAACACATGTTCAAAATCTAACAAATCCTCTTGTGATGATACTCCACCGTTCCCCTTGGTATACGTCTTCTTGAAAAGCAACTAGTAATTGCTACCGATCTTGCGCAATCATAAGTGGACTCTCTTTCTCTATTCTTGTGGTACTAAACTCAGTGCCACAATGCTTGCTAGACAGGAGCTCTAAAAATTAAGCCATACTCCCAGACCTTTTCTTACATTAGTTGTTTTTTTTTTTCATGTTAGAATGATGAATTTTTGCCTGGGGCCAGCCTCAGACCCAGATCCTCCTCCTATGCTCCACATTATTACTGAGATTACTGCATGTATCAACAGACTCAGCCTCTCAGATGGTCTTTGGAGAAGGGGATTTACGGTAAAGATGCTCATCTCCAACTACAGTGGTCCTTTCATCTTTCACTACCCATTGCAGTGAAGTAAGACCCACTAGAGTTCCAAAACAGATTGGACAAAATACTACCACCAAAAAGAACATTGGAAGAGTAAAGGGAATGTTTAAATTACAAATCTTTTTCTCTTAGTGCTTAGCAATTTTCTTTGTCCAATTAGATCATTACGGTGCTCTCTATCTTAATTAAATAAGTACACTGAATTTGAATAGATCATGATTATTAGGTTTGCCTGGGAGAACAGCCCTCTACCCCCTTCCTCTTCATGTCTGTGGATATGGAAGTGATCTCAGAGCCCGGGGAACCTCTTACTATTGGAAGGAAGAGTGATCAGAAACATTCAGGAAGTAATCTCAGTGGATGAGGAAGTGACTTGGGTCTAGGATCCTTTGCTGACTCACAGTCAGGTGGTTGGCAGTCAGGTGATTATTGGTTTGGGGCAGGTAATTTCTGGTAAGGCTTTTGCTGTATTCCATGAAGAGGAAGAGGAGGGGGGTTTTCTCTTGGGCAGACCTAACAATGATACTTTAAACTTGGGAAAGTATATTACAAATTGAATTTGTCCTAGTTTATCTCTGCTTATTTTGTCAGTGGAAGATATTATCCCAGAAAAAAACCCTGAAATTTGACTTGGGCAATGTTGTCAAAATCCCCAGCCTCTGTTCCTGATTGATAGATGTCAGTCTGTGTTTCAAGGATTAACTTTCCTCCCATATTTCAACTCCACCATTTTAAATATTGTTTACTAGTTTACTAGTATTCTTCATAAAAAACACACATGTGGACATTTAGCAAGCTAGGTCTGGAAATGGCATAAAAATTAATGCATGCTCAAGCCAGAGCAGAAAATGCCATCAAAAAACTGCAAGCAAGCTGGGTGTTGGTGGCTCACGCATGTAATCCTAGCTACTCAGGAGGCTGAGATCTGAGGATCACGGTTCAAAGCCAGCTCGGGCAGGAAAGTCCATGAAACTCTTATCTCCAATAAACCACCAGAAAACTGGAAGCGGCGCTGTAACTCAAGTGGTAGAGCGCTAGCCTTGAGCTGAGGGACAGTGCCCAGGCCCAGAGTTCAAGCCCCACGACCGACCAAAAAAAAAAAAAAAACAAAATGAAAACAAGAAAAAAACCCTGGTGCAAGTGGTAGAGTGCTAGTCTTGTACAAAAAAGGTCAAATCTCAATGCTGGTATGTGTATTATGCACACACGCGCGCGCACGCACACACACACACAGAATATATCAAAAAGCATCTCAGAGTAAACCAATGCAACAATGATACTCACAAGACAAAACGTTAGAAATGAACTATAAAACTTGGTGGGGGGATTGGGAGGGAGGAAGAGTGGGAGAAAAATGAAGGAGGGGTAACAAGTGGGACAAGAAATATACTCACTATCTTATGAATGTAACTGCAACCCCTCTGTACATCACCTTGACAATACAATTAAATTATAAAAAGAACATTAATGCATGAAAGTTGTCAGGGCAGGTTCATGACCACACTTTGCTGCAAGGGAACCTGAGAAATGTAACCCTGTAAGAAATGAGAGGCAAATGTGTAAGCATTATGCCCACCTTTGGTCCTCAGCTCCACCCAGACCTGAGCTCCTCTCTGCCCTGGAGTTCTGGCCATACATCTGGCCCCTCCCTTTCTCCACCCAGACCCATAGGAGCTCCCATTTACTTCCCTTCCTGCTCCCCCTGACCCTGCTGCGACTGAGATAGTGAAGGTTGCGGTGTGCTCTCTCTCTGAGGGAAATATGGCTCCTCTAATAAACCTTGTAATAATCTTTCTCCTGTGCCTGCCTGCCTCTGTGTGGTCCCCTGGGATGGATGGGATGTATCCGTTAAAATGACTTACACAAGCTTAAAGCCTTATTGAGTGACACACTTGCTGGGTTACTCCAAATGGGGATGGAGGCAGCAGCAGTGGACAGGTGTGAATGAAATGTAAGCAAAGTTTAGGGGGAGGTCATGGAATTGAGGAATTGAGTGAGTCAAGTTCTGAGGATTGTAACGTGATGCAACTGGGGTAGGAATTTGTACATCATATCAGGGAAACAGTACAGTATCAGGGAAATAGAAACTTAATAGATTTGTTGTAAACAGAGAGGGTCACAAGGTGAGGACTTTTCAGAATCTGACTTCCAAGACCTTAGAAACCCTTGTAAAGAACCAAGACAATGAGACAATGAACGTAGCTGGTCAAGTTTCACACTATAATGATGTGTAGATTATAATGAAGTCAATAACCCTATCTTGAAAAGCTCAGAGAAATGGTTCTTGGCTTTTACTCATTTGCTTATCTACCCATTGCACAACCAAGATGTGGGAACTTACAGACGACTCAATAATAATTCACAACATGTCACAGTAGCAGCTTTTCATTTTTTTCTTTTTTTCCCCCTCTGCTAATTCCATAGGCAATTACACCAGCCTTGGTCTCAGAAAATTTTAATTCAACATGTAGATATTGTTAAATAACCTCTGTGGTGGTTGCTACTTTTTGCAACAGATGATCTTTAAAAAAAATCATAGTAGAAATAGATGAAACCTGAGGGCCATCAAAAAGAGTTTTGGGGACTTAAGATTGAGATACTTTCATAAATCCACACTTCATGGAGTACTATGTATAGTAACCCACTGCATTCTCTGAGTATGTGCTCATACTCTTCTACTAACCAGACCAAACAAGGTTGTTTTCAGGTTAAGGATAACATCTGACTGAGCAGTAATAGAGGTTTTGCTGAACAATGAATATAACATAGATCTTTTTGTAGAGACAAATATCTCAAACTTAGAGGGAACAGCCTTACAAAAGTTATAAACATCTGAGAGTTCATTCTGCCACCACTGAAAATGGATTTCTATAGCCTTCCCTCTATCCATAAACCACTGACCCCGAATGTCCTGGAATTGCCTGGCTGGATATAATGTGATAGTTAGCAATGACAGCAGTCTGACTCTTTCCATGAAACTATTCATGTACTCTTCTGGTCTGGTCCTACTTACCACTGGTTGATGTCTGTCGTCACAGGATACAATTATCTGCTATCTCCAAGACCACATGTACACTAACAGGGAGTTTGCGTATGAAAACAGCATCTCACAAACATCCTCTTTAGCTGCTGCAAGTAAACAAGTCTGTAATCAAAGTAGAGACAGTCTTCTGTGTATGGGCTTCATTTTAACCAAGATAGAAACATGCCAAATTCATTTGATCTTCAGGGTGTGAACAACTGCCTTCTTCCCCTATATAAGTACCTCATGTGAGGTCCACTAAGGAGAGCAGTCTATGAAACTGTCAGTCACCCGACTGTGAGCCAGTAAAAGGTCCCAGGTCTGTGATCGCTTCCCATTCTGCTGCTGTCACACTTCCTTCTGGATCTTGCTTTATAATCTCCACCGTGAGTTCAAGCTGCTACACCTACCCTAGCCCGGTGGTTTGGTGCTTCTACCTCACGTGAGTGGCAGTCTCCTTTTGGCAACCCAAAAGACTAAGAAGCACCTGCTGCCTCCCAGACAATGAGGTAAAAGCTTTCTTTGTTTTACTGACTTTGCTTCTGTGCACTTGGCAATTCCAGAACATTTCTTACCAAACAGTTCCTAGACAAATCTCCTTATAAAAGAGCCTTCTTAGTCATGGTTGTGATGCTGACAGGGACCCATCAATCTCATTTAATAAAGGATTGTTTAAGGTGGTATTGAAATATGGATACTAGGTTTAACTGGCTCCATCTTGGCATCTTGGTGGATGATGGGGGCTTTCTGAGAACTCTGGAGATGATAGAGGATATTCTTTGTTTTACATCTGTGTCAGGAGTTGTTAAGCTCCTGGAGAGTCTTGCTTCCCCTAGATAATTTGACCCTTGATCTCCCCTGATTGTTCCCTTAGATGGTGTGGTTTACTTATGTAAAACTCTTTGTTAGGTTTAATTCCTCACACTCCACGTGGTTTTTGGTCTGTATAGCTAGCACACTAGCTGCATTAGAGGCTGCAAGTTCTTTGGGACAGGAGTCCACTTGCAGATGCCAGCATTTTAATAAGGACTCCCAATTCAACCTCTTAAAGTATGGCTTCTCTGTATCTTACTGATCAAATTCCCATTTAACAGTATGGGCAAAGTTCAAGGAAATCAATAGGGGATGGTGATAGACAGTGGGGTGGAGTGGGGACTAACAACAAAGACAACAGGACACCACTAGGCCTATAGAGGTAAGAAGAAGGAGCAGTCAGACTTGGAGAGGCCTTTTGTGAAAGACTAAATTACTGATTGCCCAAAGCCCAGCACAGTGAGAGTTTAGCAATGAATACTAGGAACTTCACCTTTTCCTGAGTTAATAGTTTTTGAGTGGCACCTTTAGCCTCCTTACCCACAAGACAAATAAAGAGTGAGAGAAAGAGGCTGCACTCAAGCTCAAAGGCAAGATTCCTAACTTCCCTTTTTCAGAACTTGTTTAATGAGCTCAGCCCTTTCCAGGAATGGACAAGAACACCTTCTTTATCCCATAGGAGATGGTATTTAGGTAGTACAACCCTAATGTGACAATGTCCCTTGGGATCAAAGAACAGAAGAAGGGACACTGACATGTGGTGAGGTCAGAGCAACAATTATTGATACTTTCAGACATCCAGGTGGAGAGACATCCAGGTGGGAAAGGAGAGGAAGCGATATTTTGTTTGATAATTTGATGGAATCCAGGAGGGAAGAAGTTATTTTCAAAGATATTTATTCCTTTGACCTTGTCAATACCAAATCACAGTTTTGTGATTACTGTAAAACTCAACTTATGATTGCCATGACATTGCTTTTCACTAGAGCAACTGTTCTAAGGTGATCCTCAAAGAGGCAGCATCAAGATTCACCCGGGAACCTACTGGTATGCAAATTCCAGTCCCTTCTCCCCCATTTGGTGAGTCAGAACCTGGTGGGCAGTGAGCCTAGCAATCTGCATATTATGAGTCTTTTGAGACTCATGCTGTTGTAAGGTAAATCATCCCAGAAGCCACATTTTAAAATACAGAATATTGGAAATTTTATTATACAGTTAACAAGCTGCAGGCCACCAGTTGTTACAAAGGCCTGCACAGCATGCAAATACATATAACACAACTAGGAAACATGCTAAAGAGGAAAGAAACAACAAAACAATACAAACAAACCAATTCACCTCCCATGGAGAGCTGAATTGGGACACCATGATGACTGGATATGAGCCAGGAGACAGGACACAGGACACGATCACTGAGACATGGAGTCCTGGCAGCTAGGCTGGTCTGGGCCTAAATAGGTCCATGCAAAGGGGCAGGTCGCCAGGAAATTCCCAGTCCCAGGCACTGGACTGACAGATTCAGTAACTTATCAGCCAAGTGCCTGCCCCTGCCTCAGGGGTCCAGACATGCCCATTATTATGGGGGGAGGGTCCTTCCCCCAGCACGAAGACAAGATGCCAGACCCTACCATTCACCATGTGACCAATATGATGCTGGCCAGATCTGGCCTTCTTACTTCATTCCCTCCTTTTTTTCTTATGTACATGAAATCAAATAATTGATTTCTCTGTAAAAGGACTGAATTTTTGCCTAGGCCATTTACTCCTGTAATTTATGGAGTCTCCACCAGTTAGAAGTTGGCTCCATATGGTTGGTACCTCTTCAGTCAGGGGACTTTGCCCTGCTTTCCCCTGTCAGGCAGGTTCTGATTTACAAATCTATGTCCCACAAAAGAATGTCCTGGAACCAAAGTCTTACGTTAGGCAGATCCAAAGCAGTCTTTCACCAGATGTTAGTTGCAGGTGATGGAGTCAGGCAAAAAGGAGTCCAGTCCACGTTGACCACAGTGGAGGTGGTCAGGATGATGATGTAGTCTCCTCCAGATGCTGCCAGGCCATTTTTGGACTTTACTCAAACAGGAATCTCCAGATTAGAAGAGTGAAGTAGGCCCTGAGGAGAGACTAGAGCTGGTACAGCTTCTTTCCAGGCTTTGCCTTTGTTTTAGGGATTTTAGGGAAAAAACCCTCTAAACAAGGTTAACTAGACCTTGTCTCCAACCAGCCCAGTTCTTGGAATGGAAAGAATGCCTCTAGGTCCCCCTCCCTTTAACAACCTAACCCACCTTGATTGTTCTTGTAAGGGCGGACTGCTTAAACCGATAGGTAGTAATCTGGTTCATACTGGAAACATCAAGAGTTTACCTCTGCCTTTTTCACGTGCTTATGGTAAACTCCACTAAACTCCTCCTTGTATATGCTTACTGTAAGCTCCGCCTTACTATTGAATTTGTGAGTCATTTAAACCAAAAGTGATAGGCTGGTTTAAACAGCCATTGTGCGAAACTGTAACCTCATTGGCCACCTGCATGTGGTCTAGTATGACTGTGCAATCTTTTAGGTGTGTGACAATCTCATTGGTTACCTGCACATGACCAGGCTTGACCTCGTGAATTTTGCCTTTAAAAACCAAAGTACGTGGGCCTCTGGGGGTCGCAGTATCAGCTCCTGAGCCTGTGTTGCGGCCCTAGCTGGTCAGTGAAGGAATCTTCTCAATAGTTGCTTCCTTTTTAACAACTTTGTTGCGGTGGGCTCTGTCACTCCAGATGACTAGGTGGGCTTGCCTGCCTGAGTAGGGGTCTTCCTACTACAAAGAGATGGACTTGACAGCAGCAGCAATGTCTTCCAGCAGCTTAGGTAGATTGTCACACCTCCTGCTGAGGTACTGCCATTTCTGCACAAACTGGTTAAAAAAGCTTAACCTAAGGTCTGACTTTAGTAAAATTTCCCACTACCTTCCTGGTTGTCCACTGGCTCTTGCAGGCTGGAGCCCCACTGGTTTTTAAGGCAGTGTAGACAGTAGCATCTCCTGGGTAGTTTACCAAGGTGACACCTTTGTAATAACCAGAGATTTTATTAAATAAAGCTAGGTTTTTCTAGCCAGACACAGAGGGCTTGGACTTGTAACCATTTTTAAGTGTAGTCTCTACACTTGTCCATTTGTTATTGAGGAACCTAAGCAACTCTATTTTACTTAAGACCCCATCTTAGCTCTGTGGCTTAACTCGTGACCCACTTTAGCCCCAATGCCAGGAATTTATGACAGAAAGCCATGCACAAACAATTCTTGGAGCCATAGGTGGTGTTTGCATAAGGCAGGATGTCGAGATATCTGAAATTCCAGAACAGCCCCTCCTAGGATCTGGTGATCATTATCTACACCAGAAACCCTGCAGTTTAGCACGAATCCTGGAGAGCCCCCACTGGGGGGCAAGCCAACCAGTTTAAAGTACATTGGCCCCCTTGATCTGACCAACAACCTATTTCTGGTCCTTTACCATTTTGTCATGCGCCAATTATACTATAGAGTTGTTTTATGATTTTCCCGTGGTGTGTAGTGATTTGTTGCAAGATACTATAATGTATGCACAGCCCCTGCCTTCCCTAAAAAATGTATAGAAAGTGCTGTAACCTGGGCTCAAGGCATCATAGCGTCACAGGTTACTGAGTGTGGAGGACCAAGCTCGAGCTTGAAATAAACGACTCTTTGCTGTTTGCATTGATCGTGGTCTCTGGTGGTCTGTGAGGGAGCATCCGAAACTGGGTACTTCAGCTATCACTATTTTTTCCATGCCTCCTTTAATTTATCCTTCCTCATTTTAAAATGACTCTGTTCCCTTGATCTTAAGGGGATTGATGGGTGAAGATCCATCTTCTGTAACTTCTTCAAGCTGACTCAGGGGCATTGAAACAACCTAGTCAGGTATCTATAGCTTAGCCCATTTTACCAATGGGTTGCCAGGAGGAGATGTTATCAGGAGCACTATTTTACTCCAAACTGAAAATTATATACAACATTTAACTTTTAACAAATGCACAGACCTTTTCTCCAGCTACAGCAGTGTAGCTTGTTTAGCACTCTAGTTTGCAAAAGCATCTTCTGGCTGGCTTAGGAACATGATCTCTAGTGACCCTAACCATGCTTAAGTTACTTGTGTAGGCCTTTAGACAGATCTCAATAGGGACACAATCTCAGGTCCACAAACTTCTTTCCTGAATAGATTAATTTAGGTGGCTGTTGCCAGCCCAAAAGTTACTGCCAATTAGAGCTTTGAGCAAAACGGGGGGAGTTGAGATTTTAAACTATCCCCCACATTTTATACCCTTAACTTTTTACTACTATCACAGATGACTAGGAAGTTCCTGTCCCTTTACAAGGTAGATAGTCATGGACATTAGTCATGCTTACAAACTATCTTCCCATGTCCTCCTGGCTCTGACCAATTTTTGAAGGGCCATGCACAAATGACTCCAGGATTTGACACCACTTCTGCAATCCAAGCAGTGGCTTACTGCCTCAGGATGCTCCATCATTTGCCACGGTCCCAGGAGTGCCATTCTCTATGCTGGAAAAAATGACCCTTGGCATTTTCCTTGGTCAGTTGCTGGACTTGAATGCAGGGTTTGAGCACTGTCCCTCAGCTCTTCAGCTCAAGGCTAGTTAAGTACCCTGTTTTTGGATGCCCCCTCACAGACCACC